TCATTCGTTAAGTACAGGCCTATTAAACCTTAACTTAAAATTAATATCCTTTTCATTTTTCAAAAACATTTTATTGTTGTCAATCTTTTGCAATTTTCAGAAAAATACTCATTTGACATAAATTAACCATATTTTGCTTCCTTTGGTCTTTGGTAATAGGCACAGTAATAATGATTTAGTATTTTGTACGGAAGCCAAAATACCATTTTGTTTACATTTTGCTACCTTTAAAAGATACAATTAAACGTTCATTCTACTTCTAACGGTAACTAACATCTCACATGCTCTAAATCTGTTATATAAAACGTTATCAACCACATGTATGCCCTTTTGAAAGAAATAAGAATTTATTCACTTCTGTTACCTGATGTGCATAGAAATAAAACATATCTTAATTCTGTTTTAGTGTTGAAGTTGTCATTAGTCTTGCGTCATACTTACTTAAAGACACCGTCAACCGTATTCAAGCATCGCATGTCAATGTTTGAAGTTACAAAACAAAATATTTCTCAATCAATATTCTGACACTGGTATACAGGTTTTGAATTTGCTTTGACTTTAGCGGATTACGAGCTGTAACTATGAATGAAAGGCTGTGAAAAAAGTCTAAAAGCATCAATATATCTGAAACAAGATAGCATTTCAGCAATAAACTACTTCAAAGATATTCGATAACAGACTTGCAACGGATATAAGCCGGTTTTAGTGTTAAATAGCATATTGTAACCAATTCAAAAGAATTCTGTTCTAAGCTTTTGTAACAAAATCCATTTAACTAAAAGCTACAAAATATAACATTAATATTGCCAGTATTAAACAATAAACAAAACATCAAAGAAATCTTAATTGAGGAGTAATGTACTTCTAAAGGACAATTATCACATAAACGTTAACATTTCCTGTGTTATATATCTGAAAAATATGATCGTAAATTTGCAAATATTTATTGGTACTAATTTGATAAATCTGTCAATACTGTTGTGCTTAGTTCAACATTAATACAGAAAGATTTTGCCATTACATGGAGTTAAATGCAAAGCGGCTCTCCTATTTTTCATTTCTATATCTGATAATTGTACATTTTCGGTCGTCAATTGCTTTGCATAAGGCGTTTTTGCAATATCTGTTTCGTGTAAATTAGAGTTTTTATTGCTTTTCGTCAATAAAATTCAAACCATTCTTATTAAAAGAAGCCTTCCTTTAGACAGAATGACGCCAGAATAGGTTTGTACAATGTCCTGTAAATAGCATGCTTGAAATAATGAAATAACTATTTAAGATAAAAAAACAATTTACCTTATATTCCGAATGTAATACAAATATATACAATGTTTAAAAAATGATAGAATTATAAAAAAGAAGTAAAAAAGGCTCAGAAAAAAATCCAAATCCATTCAATGAAATTATTGTTTATTACTAATCTAGGTATGAATGGTGTTAGAAAGAATTAAATCATTTTAGATTTGTCAGTTGTAATAACATCTTGGTTGCTGAGAATTCAATAGGATCTTAAAGAACTTATACATTTAAGAAATATAGCAAGAAACAGTTGTAAGAAGTATTAAGTCTTTTGATACATAAGGAACTATGTACTACATCGTTTTGCCTACAAAACATAATTTAGTGTCGAATTAAGCTAAATTGTTAAAAAATCTGAAATTGAAGGTCAGCATTAAATGAAATACAAGCATGAGTACATGCATTAACGATGTCATGCAAAGTAGTACAAAGGCTTAAACAAAAAAAGAGAGAATAAACCCTAACTTCCATTTGTGGTCCTTGTTACTGGCGGCATGATATAGGGATTCATGACTTATAGAATATCACTTATTTAAACGACAAACACGTACTATACATGTAAAATATATCAAATGATTTAGTCACCTATATAACATAATTGATTGCTTTTAATGCAGCCAGATTGGTGTCTCTGTTTATAAGATCAGATTACATTCGTGAGAACTATTGTCTATTGGCTATTTTTGGATATAATGTGTCTGTTCGGATAATAGCGTTGAGATAAAAATAGAATTAATCTGTGAATTATTTCAAAGAGGTATTGTAAAGTATAAACAGACCATGATGAAAAATGAGCAAGCGGTTGTTGTATTATTAACAGCAAAAATAAACGCTAAATGACTGATAAATTATTAATATCGGGGTATTGATATGAATAGATACTAGTTAGGTCTTCAAATTTTAAAAAGGAAAACTTAATGTGTCGACTTGTAGATGTTAGAATTATATATTGCCAATAATTTTATACTTGTACGATAATAATGTAATTTCTTTGACCTTTTCCCATTTTGAGTTGCAAAATACATTTTATAGATTTACATAAACCTATTAATATAAATTCAATGAAAATTAAACGATTAAAAGTACAACATTTATATTTTCACATCATAACATAGCCTAACATAAGTTTATTAATACAAAGTTTATGAACAGCACTTTGATTAAATACTAAGATTTTACATGCATGCATATAGAGCATGAAATGAATGTTATAAAGATAAATACATAGCCTACATATGTGGTAATTTTAAGAGATTCGGCCTTGATATCTCTAACTACATCGGGTCTGATTTATATAAATTAAGTTCTACAGAATGAGTAACATGAGCTGTTATCAGTGTAGCATATAAGTAACGTATATTCCTCCAAAATCTGTTAATAAATGACGTAAATTAAAATAAGTTACAAATGCAATTTACATCACTGCACATTTCTAGAGAATTTGGGAAAAGCAAATTCAAAAACAGTGTAATCTGAGGATTGAAAACATGAATAAAAGGATTCAAAATATTTATCACAAATATCATCAATCTAACTTTCTAAATAGTCTGTGTGATATTCCTAGTTTTTATTTACTGAATTACTACACAATTTTGTTGCTTTATTGTAAACCATTTGCGTCGTTCTTATCATATCCTGTGTTAGATATTACTATTTCTATTTTTCTCATCTATAAATAAAGATAGTTATGACATGGTTTAGACATTTCTCTTTGTTCTTTCTAACACATTATATTCAGGACATATTCAATGAGGATTTGAAAATTGTTTAATAATAACAGTGTTGTTTTTTCATTGATTCATATAGGAAAAAATCAGCTGATATATATAACATGAGTTTTTTTCCACCTACTATATATCATTGTAGTTTTACAGAAATTGAAATGGGGCGAAGGTATCACAAATTCCCAGAAGCAAAACATAGATTTATTAGCTGGTAATGGTTCATTACCTAGGGTTTACAATTGAAACAAAAGGAAAAGGGCACAAGATAAGATCATAGAAATATTTTGCTGATATCGTTTACAAAAATTATGAAATTGCGATAAAACAGTTATAATATATGAAACTCGTTAGTTACGGGATGTTTCTACAAAACAAATCGTCTCGGTTTAACATGCCTCGGCATTTTTTATTTATTTTTTGCAGAAACATCCCTCGACGTCGCCCCAGCCAGTGTTATATACTAACTCGTTTCATATACATGATATACTATAACAATTACATATTTATTAGTAACAAAGCATAAATATTTAGTCTATAACTATAATGACCTGCTTTAATTTACATTTGGAATCTCTAACAAACTGACAAAGTGTTATGTGCATACTAAATTTCATTTGATTCTGACCTAATTAATAATTCAGATTTCTATACCATAAATAACTCTTGGGGTCAACATCTAACATCTATCAATATTTCAATGAAAATACTCCGTCCGTTAAATGAATACATCCCAGAGGATATATAAAATATGAAAATCCTCAAATAAGTTTTAAATGGTCGAATGGGTTTGTTCGCTGTGTCAATAATTTACAACAATCAATTGTGTGATGAATCATAGTAAAAGTTTTATGACAATAATCTCAGTAGTAAAATGCCTCTTTATTTTACGAGTGACTGAAAGAAATGGACACATTATTCAATAGGTCAATTTTCAGTTATCAGAGTTATAAGTATTCTTTTGAATTTTAAATGCATAAATCGTGTCAATAGTGAATAACCTCCCCTGAGTACTCCCTATAAATAGATAGGTCCTAAGCTATTGGATTACTCGGACTTTATCGCCTATTTCTTTGTAGCAAACTGAATTAATTAGGGCTAATTATGATCATTTGTAATATTCAGATTAGATATTGCGATAAGATGTAGAATCTGTTGACATAAATTAATCATTTTTTCCTTAAGGTTTACACATTTGTTGATGCATGTGTAAATAATTGATTAAGACATATCAACCTGTCTTATATAAAACTCAACGATAAAAGCAAAGGATTCCAAATATTTGGACCTACTTACATTTTGGTTAACCTCGGTTTTTATCAAGGGAAGATAATCCACTACTGTCCCCCATTGCAAACCAATGTCGAAAGTTGCACAATGTTTAGTATTATTTTACATTCTGTAATAATATCAGTGTTGATTCTTACTTTATGACATCTTTATATAAATAAATTATTTTGAAAAATCACTATATCACGACAATAATGCTAATACATTCAAAGATATAAAGCAGAATTTTGGAAAGCAAATTTCAGCATAAGTTTAGTAAATAAAAATATTTGAAAAATAGTATGCTCTATTACTTCATACTAAATATATCAATGATATAGAAGTATTAAAATGACATTGTATTCTTAAACGCAACAAATACCGTCTAAACAGCAAAGCAAGTAGAAATATCTAAGATGCTCTAGCTTTCAGATTAGGTTTTACTTATTTACTCAATGATTAATACAAGAAAAGAGTTTGTATCTTATGCATAAATAAACATAAATCAAGATTGAAATGTATGAGCGTCCCATGATGCCAATGTTTGTACAAGTTTAATTTCTGTAGATAGTACAAGAAAATAAAGTTTATTACTCGATACTTGTATCTTATAAATGAACATAAATCAAAATTGACGTATTGATTGTATGAGAGGTATGTATGAATTGTATGGCGGTATTTGTTTTAAATATACTGTAAATTTATTAATAGGAGCTGGATTTTTGGGGTTTGACTGAGCTCGATATAGAACCATGTTGTTGGGGTCACTACAGCAAGTTCAAAGATCACAGGGAGACCCTTGCAGCTCTTGATGACAATTTCACACAACAAAATGAAATGGAAGCGTGGACCGAAAATACAACAAATTTTCAGAAATTCAAACATAGAATATGGCAATTTCTTGAAGAACCCTCCACATCGAGAGGAGCTAAGGTGAGTACAAAATATCGTATAGCGGTAAATATTCGAGTGGAAGGTTGCTTGCACTTAACACTACCGTCCATGAAATTTGACATATTGTTAAACGATTATTTTGTCCTAATGGCACAAATATTCAGCTTTGGGTTGACTCTTTTAGGAAATATTTACACTAATAACGGACACATTTTAATAGAATAATTTTGCTGTTGAAATGAACGCTTTCAGTTTATTTCAAAAATATATTTCCTGAAACGCCGTTTTGTGTATCTCCATGTGGTACCAATTTAAAATACAAAAGTACCAGTAATGTAAATAATTTGATATATTATATTTAAATAAAATTTATCGAATGTGCCGAACAAAGTTATACGTTGTATCCTTTATACAAATGCAACACAATTTAGCTGATTTGAAAAGGATTTTGTAAATAATTTTAATTTGATTTTTAGTACCGCAAACATAATGTTTTCTTTAACAAAACTTTGTCGGTATCCAACACAAGAACTTTGCTTCATTCAGTAGGTAAGTTTTCAAGAAACCTGCAATTTTATCTAAATACGATATTAAACAATAACAGTTACTATAATTTTAAACTTCACTCATATACTTTGCAGGTGTACGCCGTTCTGTCTATGTTTTTCGTGGTTTTGTCTATCGCCATATTCTGTCTGGAGACATATCATTGGTTCCGGGTTCCGATTCCCGGCGCTAACGCACACAACGCATCCAAATATGACACATACTTCTCTCCGACCGGGGACCAGTGTATACGCACAAAACATGAAAGTGGACAGTATTTATTCGAGGAAACCGAGCCACATCCTGCGATGACGTATTTAGACTACGTATGTGCTGCATATTTCACAATCGAATATATAGCTAGATTCTTTTTTGCGCCAAGCAAACTCAAATTTATAAAAGGGCCATTAAATGTAATTGATCTCCTATGTCTGGTCCCACATCTCATTGCCATAATCATGGTAACAGTTGATCCATATGGATCGTCCAAGGACACGAGCAATTTGTTTAGGGCATTTCTGGCTCTCCGAACCGTCCGTATTTTAAGAATATTTAAACTTATGAAACATTATAGTGCATTTAAGATTTTGGTTTATACGATAAAGGTTTCTACCAAAGAGTTGTTATTGATGGTCATTTTTTTGTTCACGGGAGTGTTAATCTTTGCGAGTATTATATTTTACACTGAAAATGACACGTTTGACAGTATCCCTGTTGGATTTTGGTGGGCACTCGTTACCATGACAACAGTCGGGTACGGGGATAAAGTACCAAAGACAGAAGGTGGTTATATAATCGGTTGTGGATGTGTGTTATGTGGGGTACTCACTGTTGCTTTTACAGTACCGATTGTTGTAAATAATTTCACACTTTACTATTCTCATGCACAAAGCCGGATAAAACTCCCGGTACATAAGCGGAAAGAGCTAAAGAGGAAAATATTCTTAAAAAATCAGAAATCCATAGATATTCTGAAGTTTAAGTGGAAAAAGGATAAAACTAAGCGAGCAACTTTTAATGATATGGATACTATACATACACCACGTGACCCTCCTTCAGGGCAAGAAGACACGGAGGAAGTGAGCACACCACCAAATAGTTCAAGAGTGACATTGGTTCTAAGTGACAATACAGTAGTGAGACCAGGAACCGGTAAAGCTGTGTATGAAAATGCTATAAATCACTCGTCCATATCTGAAACGGATTCAGATATCGTTCCAGTTGAAACCCCTGATAGGATACATACTGTATCTGAAAGTATAGACTTTTCTATAGCTGAAACAGCATCTCTAAGCCTACCTGGGACACCATCGGACATAAGCAACTCAAACGAACACGTAAGTTTGTACATGAAAATATTTTTATGAGTTAATCTTCATTTGTAACATTCAAAAGAATCATAACTAAGACAAAAAATCGTTAAATGATACTCTTTTAAAAACTTTTTGGACATGATAATAAATAGGCATTTTTTTCTGTGAACAAAACAAAATGGGTAGATCTATGTGCCATCTTCTGCTTTAAATTGACAAATCCACATTGACTGAAGCAACACATATAACTGAAAAATAGAAAAAAAACTATGTATGCTTTAATGGATCGACCTGCCTTCGCTTATATCAATTATAGTCGTCGGTAATGAGATGTACTGCTAAATACCTAACATTTCATTAGCTGTTTCAATGTACTTTCTTTTCTAGCATTTGGCTGAAACGGAGCAACTGCTCATGGAATTTGCAGACTATGACAAGAAACGAAAGGAAGAGAGAAAACGTCAACTAGAATTGATAAATCACAAGCGAGATCTTCGTCGTCAGCAGCAGTTAAGCCACGAACCCAGAAAGAGACCACATGTTGCTGCTGGTAGTAGTAAACCATCGAACATAAGGAATTAGTAGTCAATTAATTCGCTGATTACTTTCAATGATAAGTTACACACGCACCATTTGGCGCAATCATACACAAAAAGAAAGGAAGAATTTTATGGAGGTTGTGAAAGGAAGACATCAAACGGTTTTCCAAGTGAGCGTTCAATTTTTATACACGTATATCTCGTACATTTGTGTGGGGCTGAACATTGTCGTCTTGGTGGCGGCTGAGGATTGCGTTCTATGAATCCTGACCCCTTTTATTGATCACTTCACTCCTATTGTATCGGCTTATGGGCACCATAATGATTGTTTTTACAAACGATATATCTATAGACTTGACCATAATTTACTTTTTAATCCAGAGTATATGAGTAACAAATGCGGATTTTACTGCCTTATTTTACATTTGTTTTAAGAAATATGGATTTAATTGTCTTATTGTAAGGAATGTGGATTTAATTGTCTTATTTTAAGAAATGTTGATTTAATTGTCTTACTTTAAGAAATGTTGATTTAATTGTCTTATTTTAAGAAATATGGATTTTATTGTTTTATTTACTCTATGGCATTCTAGCGGATTTATCTTTATATAGTTTTTAATTTTCAACTGAATTTATATTATAATTATTTTGAAATTGGTAGAAATATTAATTGTCATTTTAAATATACTTTAAAACAACACAATCAAAATTGACAAGCCAAATTCAGCTTCGTTATAAATAGACATTTTCTTCATTTGTATTACCAACATCATGAAGCATCATTTTATGATGCACTATCATCCATATTTGATACGTAATGTCCGTCCAATTGTTATCGAAAATAGTGAATGTTTACTCAAGATTTCCAGTCTAAAATGTGATGTATTTTCCATGAAATGTATATTTTGCCTGTACACTTTTTAATACTGTTCTTTTCTTATTTCGATTTTCATTGAATTATCGTGATATTTATAATAAATACTTTATAAACATCGCTTTTCATCGGATAGTTGTGACGTTTTTATAGTTTTATATACAATTTATGAAGAAGTCTCACTTTTTTTCTCTAAAAGAGGAAGTTTGCTGTTAGTATTATAAATTCGGATATTCATGACAAGTTAAATGACCGTGTATAAACGATTGTTTGCAAAATGACACTTATAAAACCTAGCGGCAATAGTTATATTTCCAAACAACCGTTTATATAGGACCATAAAAACTCTTTATAACTAATATGTCAGCAAGTTAGAATGGATTTAGATTTAAATTGTTCTTGTGTTATAGTAAAATAATGCATGCTTTATCGTTCAAATGCTTTGTAATAACTCAATTAGGCCTATCAGCCTTCGTGATTATATTCCTGCTCATTTGAACTCGAACCGTGTATTATTCTACAAAAATGCCTTTAAAATAGATATAATTTTCCAAAACAAATGCACGTTATGTAACTTACACGTTTTGTGAAGAATAATTAACCTGATAAGTAATAACAATTTTGATTTATACAATTCTATAAGTACTCTTATTGTCATGAAATAATGTTTTTACTTATGTCCTGCTATTTCTTCGATCTCTTGTAGATCCTTATTTTACATCAAAATTATAGTTACAGACTGTATGATTCGGTTCCCTGGAAATAAGTTTTTTAACATTATATGTTTTTATGCGATATTCATTCAAATTCATGCATTTTACTATGTTTTGTTTATATTTAATTTTATTGATTTGGCCAAGTGTTAAGGATTTGTTGACTAAAGTTTAAAACATGAACATATATCTATAAAAAAAAATGCTATGTGTCAAGAACATTTATATGCAAGCATATGCGAGCATATACGTTCTTGGCTTTTTTTATTTATAAGTTTGGTATACATGTATGTAGAACAACGTTAAATCACCATCAAAATATATATTTGTTTTAAAAATTGGTTAAAATTGTTGATAAATGTACGACATATCATCTACTTGAATCTAAATTATCAATAGTACCCAAAAATTTAATCTTTGGTTTAAAGTATATGTATATAATTACCAAAATAATTTAATCTAATGCTGTTCTTTTTTAAAACATTTACCCTGTTGGTATTATTGATGTATAATATCACCGGGTAGATTATCTTACATGAATGATGGAATTCTCCTAATACGTTGTTGATAACTATTACAGAATTCCTTTTTAAAGATTTGTATTTTTATACTGTAGAATATCTGTAGAGGGAATTTCGTAACAATTATCAGAAAAAAATATGGCAAGAATTTCAAATATCATGTAACAGGCTCTACCCTATGATTTTAGGGTATCGTTCACTTCAAGTGACATTATGCTCAATTTTTTCGTTGTCATGTTGAGCTGAATTCACTATTATTTCAAAAGATTGACTGTTATAATAGTGATTGACCAATACTTGATATTGGACATCTGTCTAAATTATTAAAAGCTGCACTGCTCTTTTTAAAAATTGACCGTAACCGATACCTATTTTTTCAGTGGGTCACATAATTAATTGATTATTTTTGCATAGTAAAATATAAAATTGAACGCAATTAAGGCAAAATATAAAATTATTTTTACATTTATATTTGCACTCATCATTTACACTCCGATGGTCATAATGTCACTTTAACTGATTGTTGGTCTTTTTTCAACGCTTGGTTGAAAATGATGCATGTGTATAAAACCGCTGCTGTTTTTATTGTTATTGAATATGAAATGCTATTTCTATGAAATTTGAATCTTATCAAAATAAAAGTTCATGAAATATGTGGCGTCTTTCATTTTAATCAGAATAAAGAAGCAAACAAAACAATAGTATGAAAATGTTAATATTGCACTTGCACTTTTATCGGGGATGTACACTTTTCTATCATTCAACGTGACTGCGTATAACATTTATACAGATTGTTCTGTGTGTTTTAAATAATCACATTCAACACCTTATGGCAGAAAAGACAGTAGCACATCGTTGGAAGTACTGGCATACATCTCTACATCCCTCTATTTCCATACAATACCTATCTAGAAAAGGGGTGATCCCTCAGAAGCAAAGAAAACAAAAATATTATATGAAAGTCGGTTTGATTGATTCTGAATATCAGAAATACCGTATAAATGCAACAACTCTCACACACTCTAGCACAGTTTCAAGTGGTATTCAATCTTTAACACTTACGTATCGGCGTTGGACCACACTGAAGTGAAGTACGGGGCAACCGTTTACTGCTTCCACACGACACTTGAAGTATAAATATCGGGAAAGGGAGTGATCCCTCGGAAGCTATGAAAACAAAATTATTATATGAAAAAATATCACTTGGGTGATTTTTTTCACGCTGTGTTATTTAAAGTGATAGAGAGACAGTCCCTTTTATTACCATGTCAATTTTACTGAGCCAGAAATTTATCAAGCATTGCTTTACAAACGCTCCCTTTGCTGCTCACTGAATACACTCGCGTTACTTCAGACGTAAGAAAGTGAGCGATAGTGAAGAAACATTCGACCGATGCGCAGGAGAGTATGCTTTACCGCAATTAGCTGTAAAAAGGAGACTTGAAGGTGCTTTTTGATATTACACGATATGAACACAATAATTTTCGTAGAGTAACTTAAGTTGTGTTATTACTGAAGACATATATTGATACCTTTGTAGAGCTGATCGATAGAATATTGGCAGTATCCCCACTTCTTAAAACAATCTCCATTTCTAGACAGCTAATGGTGCTAAATCAAGATAAACGAATCAGTTTTTGATATCTCCAATGGAGGTTTGATATCCTTAATATCCTTGATATCCTCCTACAGGTTTAGTAAAAGTAAAATTGCTAGAAACTTCCACTTAAAATGGACATAAAATATAAACTTCAAAGTTCAGCCAACACGACAAAAAACAAAACGTCGCAGGATAAGTTTGAATAATGAGTCTTTTCATAGATAAAAGTGTGAGGCGTAAGAAGAACTGAACATTCAAACATGAAAATGTTGTTATTTGTTTTAAATAATTGACATAAGCAGCTAATTAAATCAAATGGCTCTACGAAATTACATGAAAAGAATACTGTTCATATCGACAGACAGAATTTCTAAATGATGACAACATAAAATATTGTTTTAATGTGACATTAAGTTTTAAGCTAAATTGTTTTTACGATATAAATATACTACTACTGAAGCACAGGAATTAGATTTAAATCAAATTATATTTATACTATACATCCCTTGACAAATGTTAATGCACTTCTTTAACAAATGATAATGCACTTTATGTACTTAATGTAAAGTTATACGAATATACATAAAAATGGGTTGAATAATTAGTTATCTAATCGTGATCTACTTCTCGTGAAAGACAACTGCAATTACCTTGACCCGTAATTCATCGCAATGATTTTATACTTATCTGCTCCTCTCAAACAGGTTTGTGTTGATGAATGAACATTGCTTGAACCGGTACTAGGTGAGAGACGTTGAACAATTTCTTGTGTCACAAGTGAACAATCAAAAAGGGCAAGACATTTTGATACTTGATTTTTGTTACACAGCTATCGAAGAATCTCTATTTTCAAGAACATTTTCAAATACTTTATTGAGTTAAGACTATTTTACTGTCCATTTAAGGGCACTTGCGATACCAAAGAATATGTTTGTTACTAAAGCGTTTGCGATTTTGATACTAAGCTACATTATAAATAGTTTTGCATTGATGTTTCTAACTACGTCAGCCCATATGTTTATATTTGTTTAAATGTGAAATTCAATGTCCCATTTACTTGCCGACTTATAAACAAATTGAATCTGATAGTTCCACCGCTTTTAAATCTCGCTAAATGTTTACATGTCCTTTTCCTTTTGAACATTTCCCTATATATTTAGAACTGTATCATTGTTCGGAGACCTTTCTATAAAAACATGCACAGTGCCTTACCGCGATGTCTGTCGGCACGCCCTTTGATTGGCTACTTTTGTCTGAGGTTTACTTATTGTGACTACAGGGATAGTGTTTATGATAGTAAAGTCATATTCAGATGCCCGTTCATTGGTTACTTTT